TTCCTCTCCGCATATTCTAAATTATTTCTCCATTTCTCTTTCCACCTCTCTTCATTTCCGCATCTGGATCTCGCTATTGTTTTCTTCCTTCCCACAAATATTTTGGTAACTACTCCCTTTTATTAACTCTTTATAACTACTTCTTCCGCGTGCGCTCTCTATCTTCACCCTTTGTTGTATTTGTGGATCCAGGTCTCTTTTTGTCAGCTTATTTTCCATCTTTTCTCCTACTCCTCTCCTGCTTCTGAGATCAGCTCGTCCGTATCCACTTCTTTCGTAATATTTTCCTTTTAGTTCTTTCCACATTCCGTTTGCGTTTCTCCTCGTTGTTAGGCATTATTTCACCAATTCGTTCTCTTTTCTCTTTCCTCGAGTCTTACTGTCCTGCCCCACGAGCATATCCTTATATTTTCCATTTTTGTTTCGTCTTCTACATACATACATACAATTTGGTGTCGTTCCGTTTACCCTAATACCCATTTATATTTTCTTTGTACTTTTTGCAGTTTCTCCCATTCCTTCCACCCTCATATCTCCATTTCGTACATGACCACCGTCTCCCGTAGAAATTAAATAAGGTTGGGCTTCTTTTGTACCTACTTTTTTCCTGTTCTTTCACTTCTTTCCCCTATATTTTCCTGTTTCTTTCTCTCTCCACCATTTCTCTATATCTATTTCTCTTTTCTGAACTCTCTTCCTCTCATCACTCCTTTCTTTTCTCTCCCCCATCCCCTGCAGTTAGTTGTTTGCTTTTTAGCGCATTTTCCAACAGTCAAACCAACATTCTTAACCAGTAATGGGGTATTATGTTGAATTATTGGAACTCAGTATTTACAATAATTCCAATTTGCATGACCGGATTACTTACATCAATTAGTATCAAATTAGGCAGTACTTTGAAGTAGCTACGTGTACAAATTTTTGAAAGTGAACTCCCCCTCGGCAATTTATATTTAACAATGGTTAATTTGATAACGATCAACTAAAGCTTAAATTACCATGACTTCAATTTGAAATATGTACTTAAATTGAAACAATTTAATTGAAGGTCATTACAGTGGGAGCAGCTCGTGACAATGCTGGATATTCGGCATTTCGTATAAACATAGTGGGACTTAATACAGATTTTCCCTAGACCTATTGGAGAGATTTGAGCCACAGAGCCGGAAATTCCGTCCCTTAGGATTGAAAATGGCGCCAATTTTTAAAATTGAGGCGAATTTCAGCAAATATATCTTTTAAAGCTATTTTTACGTTTAGGGTGTAGTTTTCGGGGGTTTTAAAAGCGAAAATGACAAGAATAATATACAAAGTAACTTCTGTGTTAGGAACATGCTTCATTTTTCATATCTTTAACCTCCGACAAGATTCATTTCATTTGAGGTGGCGTTTTCGAGGTTCTCGTAGAACTACAATACCCTTAAATTTTTGCCGAAAGGAAGAAAAGACGTAAAGATGGTGCCTATTACTTCCTTACCAGCTGTAGTGCGTCATTTGTATTGGTTATTATGCTGCCTATGTCAGTCAAAAGATATAGTGGGCCTTATCTCTCCAGCGAACAACTCGAACCCTGCACTGAGATATGCAGGTTATAAATCTCTTGGTGAAAATCTGCAGGACCTGAGCCATTTTACCATATAGAATGAAATTAGACAATCTTGGCTGGGTTAGCACCCCAATTTCTTACATCGTGCGCCAATCCTCAAATTTTGTGCGCTTTTCGTTAACGCGAAGATCAAAATTTTCCGTTGGAGGTCCAACTGGTATCTCGCAGATCTAATAAAATGCTTAATGCGAATGAAACTAATTAGTGAGTCGACAGCAATAGATTTGGATCTCTACTGGCTCGCCAGCTTGAAGAACTTGACCGATGAAGATACATGGTGTTGACTTAGACTTAGACGCCAGTTCACGTCCAAAACTAAAGTTCCTAGTAACTCTCCCAAACCAGGGTGAAAAAATTATTCTCTTATCTTTCTGGCAGAAAGATGCGGACGAGCAAATCATCCTCCATGCAAAAGACATCGTAAAGCATGGAGCCCAAAACATCGTCGGCCAATCTTCGGATACTGACGTTCTGGGCCTATGTGTTTCGTTCTTCTCTTTTTTTTAAAACTCGGACTGCAAGTAATTTTGGTGGCAAGCGCCGATACATAGCGACTGCTTTCATTGTGTTAGCACTTGGAGAAGAAACCGCACAAGCCCTACGTGGCTTTCATTGTTACACAAGTTGTGCCATAACGTCCTCCTTCAACTATATTAATAATAAAGGCATTTGTGACTTGGATGAAACGCGAGGACGTGACATCAACTTTATTTGAACTCTCCAATCCACAAAGAGGAATCAGGAGACACATTGAAAACTTTGGAAGCAAGTACTGTCGTTCTGTGCGACGCAGAAACGCAGGAGAAATAGATGGAAACTGAACCAAAGAGGCACAAATATGGACAGAGCTCCCAGTCCTAGGAAAATGAGGCGACCAGTCAACTTGTGAAAGCATGAGCAGCTCATGCTTGCGAAACAGTCTTCCTTGCACCTTAAAGTATTCCTGTTTATTCAAAATACATAACAATTAATAAAAAAAGGTTTTTTCTATTTCGGTGTCACAATGATGATTTTGTACAACTGTTTTCGGCCGAAAACAGTTGCACAAAGACAGTGATTATAGTCGTTTTTTTTGGTAACTCATCTCTTAAGTTGGCAGTTACTAGTTAGTAGAAGTAGGTACTTCGTTGGGTACTTCCATGTTTGAACTTCAAAATGTCAGTCTTAATACGCTACCAACCTAAAACTTAACGGCATAAAAAGTGTTTCCAACATAAAACATGTTAGTTCTAATGTTCCCTATAGTTTCTGATAATGATTTTTTTAATCAAATTTAAGCACCGAAATAGAAAAAATAGTATGAAAAACGCGTGTTACAATGCTTTATTGTAATACTCATATCTTGCGGACACTCGTGGCTACGCTTCGCGTCGCCACTCGTGCCACAAGATAGTCGTATTACAATAGGTCGCATTGTAACACTTGTCTTTCAATATACTATTTTGTGATTCCCGCCCAAAAGAACTCCGGCACTAGATACCATGCAATCGGCCTAGTTATGAAAAATGAAGCATGTTCACGGAAATTAATTTTGGGTATTTTTTTTCAGTTTCGCCCTCGAAAACCCGGAAACCGACACCATAAATATAAAAATCGCACTAAAAAATATATTGGCTGAAATTCGCCCCAGTTTTAAAACTTGGCACCATTTAAACTCCCAAGGAACTTCCGGTTCTGCGACCCAAATCACTCCGATAGGTCTAGGAAATATGTGCACGAAGTCGCAAAATTTTAATACGAAATGCGGTTTGTCCCCGTGAAGCACTCGCACTATTAGGTTTTATTTGCCACTGTTTACATTTGTCAATTTATTTTTCATTCGTTTAAATGTTTCTCTTCCACCTTTGCTTCGCACAATTTCTGATGACAATGATACTAGTAAATTGGCGACACAGAAAATTGACGAAAATTCAAAAGTAACAACCATGGTTTGACCCCTAAAGTTTTGAATTTGGAAGAATAATGGCCTAATTATTAGTTATTTACATAACAGTCAGGAAAATGATACATTACTGGCAAGGGAATATTGAAGTGCGAGGCCCCCTTGGGGCCGAGTACTTTAATTTCCGAGTCAGGTAATGACATTTTACTGACGAGTTTTGTATTAAATTTTACCCGAAATCGTCTTTTAATAGAAAATTTCAACTTGTACCTATATATAACTTTTGATTAATGTCAATCTGTCAGTGATGACAGGAGTCATTACAGAGATTTGGAAATGTCCAAAATGCGGCCGGTAAAGTGACGGTGCGGCCGGTAAAGTGACAGGTGCGGCGAGTAAAGTGCCCAGCGGCAGGAAATGTAGTCTGCTCTACCTCTGTTATGGACACTAAAATTTCCTGACAGAAAGTAGGCATGAAAATGAAGGTTTCAGGACGATTTTGGGTAAAAATTATTGCAGACGTTTCTAAAATAGGTACAACAGTTTTCAAGCATTTAATTTTGAATAATTAGGTAACAAGCAACGAACGAACACTACCCAAAATATACCATTAAATAAAAATAGTGTTTATTCAATTAAAAAGATTACAATGAACATATTTCGAAAACTCAAACTGGAAGTGTAGGGACGTAGGTAACTGGTGGCAATATAAAACAAGTAGAAGTCTTAAGAAATGCAACTTATGTTAATAAAATTTATAAGAACGACCTTTAAAATGAGTACCATTTCTATAAGCGGCGTAAGTTTCCTTGAATAGAAAATACAAGAAGGAGAAAAAAGGCGAAATAATAAAACGGACTGTCAGAAGACAATTGACTTGACGGGTGACGCACGGCAGATAACGAATCCAAACTAAGGATAAGCTTTGTTGTTCACATTATAGTCAAGCGACGACCACTTCTTATTTAGACACCGCCATCGGATAACCCTTTTATTGCTCTCGTTTTAAACCAAACGAGGAATGTGTATCAAATTTGGCTCGAAACCAAATTAGTAAATGCAGTTTCAGACGACTATCAAATGTCAAATATGGTTCGGCATGCAGTGGTTGCTTGATGCACACGTGCAATCCAGAACAGGGGGGATCTTTCGCGACCCTTAACCTTGAAAGACGAGCGGAGGACCGTCTGCCATTTCGCAGATGATTACTGTCTTGTCTGTTCTGTTGTACGCAACTTCGAAGTTAATGTCTGGATGATATTTTAATAACGTCCACTACAAAAGAGATCCGTGGTGCACCACACAAAGAGCTTCTTGTTTTTAATAGTAAAGAGACGCGACGATGAAAGGCAAAACCGGCGTTCCGCTCGATTTATTTGGCTTCTGATGCTAGGATTTGCCATACATAGACTAATTCGTTTTATTTAATTTTCGATCGACCTTCACCTGATTAACAATGTTTTTTGTACTGTCAATCACACTATATACGTGCGCATACATTGAAATTAAGCATACTTGCGATATGTTTTTAATTAAAAAAATATAAAATATTCATAAATTACGTTTACATTCAGAATCTTAAATAATATAGATAATATATATACACAATAATTTCAGAAATAAAACTCAACATATCGTTGTTTTTGTAAGGAACTTAAACTAAAAATATAATTTAATATAACAAAGATGTATTAATTAGTTTAATAATAAAAATCAACAATGATCAGTCTTGGGGCACTCCTGATGAGTGAATTGTTTGTAGATGGTAACTAGGGTGGCAGTGTGTCGTGTATATTAAATTAGCGTCATCTGCAACAACAAAACTCAATTAATAATCACAGCTAAAATTCCAAAATGCATTGGCCTCGATTTACACAAATTGAAGGATAATTCCTGAAATGACGCATATTCTAAGCTAAGGTTAGATTTTTGGCACCGATTTATTTATTACATATTGTCCGTAAATGATCAAGGTGTATCGTGAAGGCCAGCAGAAACTTTATTGATCGGCGAAAATTTGGCGCACAATGAATTATGTCACGTTGTCTGGGAATGAATTATTAAAAACTCGTTAATGAATTTGAATAAACTGGGCATAAATTTTGTGAAAAAATTGTAGCTATTGTGGAAAAGTTTCTTAATCGCATTTGTACCACATGGGAATGAGGACGATTACATCATGGTCTTTTGATTTTGCAAAAATGTGTGACATACACAAACCGAGACCACTTCCTCGATTGTGGCCGGTAGTGTCATCAGCTATCTAAAATTGGGGTACAAAACTAAAATTTCGCACGTAAATTGGCGATCGCCATTAATTATTTATATCCGGAAGAATGCATTCGTTTGAAATAATTGCGCTATAAAAAGATAGAGATCTAATTATCGTAAAGCCCTAAGGCTTTAGAACGGTGACCTTGATAAACTGCACAATCCGGAAATGTCAAACTAGCGATTCAAAATTTTTTGAACGTTTTAAAAAAAACCAAGGAGCGGGTCTTGCATGCATTTCCTCGTAGGTGACTATTATTGTCGTAGGTAATCGTCTAGACTTGACCTTTCTATTTGAGTTATTTATAAATGTCACTTGTCGACACTGAAGTCATATAAGCCTATTAAGAGCGTCTTCCAAAAAATTACGCGAAGGGAATTCTAATGAGACACGAATGCAATTTGCAAATTTCTGTAAGGTAATAAAATGGGTGCGTAAATGGAAACATTAGAAAAAGGTAAAATTTATGGCCGTGTAAACGTGCATTATAAATCTTATAGAAAGTGAAATGCGAATATAAACAAACATTATGTTACCTTCCTACAGTGAGGTCAATGTATTTGGTCAGGAGGATAAACAAATATCATTTAATTCTATATAAATAAGGCTAATGTAAACATTCGGTAATTGTAATGGGTGATTCTGGGCCTTTACGAAATTAAGTTGGAACAAAAAAAAACATCGAGATTGATCCTTTCGAATGGCCGGTCAACGTACCCATGATTATGGTATGTCATTTAAGTAATGCCGAAGGGTTTTGTGTTTGTAGGTTAAGGAAGCTTAGATTGAGGCAAATGATTTTAACACTAGACTTTTGATAGACGAGACTGTTACAATTACAGGAGTTTTTCTGAGTGATTTTCATGTCTTGCTTTAACACTGATGAGCTTGGTGTCAATGATCTCTCGATACCATAAACGAACTGAGGTATTATTTTGGTGGCTATACGTGTGTTTTGAATTCATACGAGAGCGTACTGTATTTGTCGAGCATTGCAAATCAAGCTCGGAGAATGAAAGCGTTTTTTTGTGGGTGGCTGCGGGGAAAGCTGGGGGTGGCTTCTCACTTTTTCTAGGATAAGTTCATAATTGGTTTTTTGGGGTAAATCGAGTGCTTCCAAAAATAATATGATAAAATTATGATGCGTGTGCAATATGCAGGTAACGCGAGGGCGGGCCAGGCCAGTATGTGGAAGTAGGCGGTCAAGATCCAAACCGCGGTCAACAACCGTAGAGTCGGAACACGCGGAAGTACTCACCGGAGTCTCTTGCGCCGGCAGCTGGACGTCTCCTGACGCCCGCCGTCGCCTCCGTCGCGATGCCACATCAGTACAGCCCTGTGGGGTCCAAACCCTTTCCTCCATTGAACTTCATTTTATCGGTGGTGACTTCTTCGATTAAACGACAAAGCAGAACTTTAAAAGCACAAATTGTTTAGTACAAGCCGGTAGGATCCAATTGCTTGCCACCGTTCATGATGATTCGGATAAATCACTATTTTTATTAAGTCCCGATTGGTACTTAACCCAAAAATATGCCAATATACGAGTGAAGACCGCGAGTATAGACAACAGAGCTTGTTGAGAATGAGCCGATCACCTCCCGAGTCTGGTTTAAATGGTGCTCCGCGATGGAGTGGGGGTGGTTGTCGCCGGGACGCCAACCCTGACCCACTCACGTTGCCACTGAACCCTTTCGCAAATTTACAACTTCAGCTTCTGTGTATCTTTAATCGCTCACAGTTTACCGATGCGAACCGCTACCGCTTTGTGTTATTTTTAAATCGCCGTATACTCTCTAAATGGGCGAATTAGAAATCGCAACTTTCATATTGTGGAAAGTCCTCGTCGTTACGTCGATATTAACACGGCGACGTCATAATTTTCTTAGAATTTCAAGCGAAGACTTTCCCGGAAACGTTTTTGCAGCGTGAAAGCGGAGAAAGTCGCGCGAAAGAAATATTCGCGCCCCGAGGGTGTTTCAACGAAATTAAGGGTAATCGGAGTATTGTGGTTGTGTGCTGCGGGTCATTGGCCGCGGTTAGTCACCCTTACCCCAGTGAACCGTCGGCCACTCGCACACTGACCGCGGTTCTAGGTCGACTTCGGCTTCTTCCCGCACACCCTCGCCCTGTAATGCGGAACCGCGACATATACCCGACCTGACCTACATCGACACCAGGAAGCCGTGCGTCGCGATGTCGTGATGCGATGTCATCGAACCTCCGCAGATCAGCTGAATTCGAGGACGTTGACTTTACGCAAACTGGGTCTCCGTACGACCTCTCGCCTCGCTGCGCATGCAAATCTTGGTGGGTCCATGTGGGGCCAATCGAGCGGCAAAGGGTTGCAGCTGAATAACTCTTTTGTAATGATCTTTTAACGAAGTGGTCAGCGTATAATCCGTCACCAAAGGTGTACGCTGCATATGGCCGTTCTTGTGCAACGCGCCTCCTAAGGCAGCTTGACTAGGAAGTACATGTTGAATGGTCGAGCTCGGCCCTTGTCATCCCAATTAACACAAGCCCGTCACTTCATATTCATCATAATCCCCATTGACCATTCCGGCAGGCCTCCAATTTGTACGTCTTTATAAAGCCATTTGTTATAATCTCGACACCACCTGGAAACTGACCTTAAAAAACACACAACAACAATCCTGTTTTTTCTCTACAAGGTAGCGCACCGTGAGAAGAAGAGTGGCAAATTTAAATCGAGTATACGCGCACTTCCTCATATCAGCAGCGCCCCGGGACAGCCATCAAGGCGATGCATCTGGCATCTGGGGTGACCGAAAGAGCTGTGAAACTAGAATGGTGGATCAACGACCTCGCGAAGTTAGTGGGTCAGGGCTCACGACGGTCAAAGACCTACCGGTCGTTTACTCATTTGTAGCTCATCCGCGTTGAAGATGTGCATCTTGACTTCAACCCCCACGACATATACACTCACAAAATTCGCCCCGCGAAACGGAATTGACCGCTACGAAATTTGGCGAGAATGTATTTAATTTCTCACCCGTGAAATGTATGCACATTCTTAACACTATCTTGTCATCAACGCCTTCCTCTTGGCCCGTATTCTCCACTAATTGTTATTATTCCCACTATTAATTATTACCTCAATTGTTCTCTAATGAATGTAATATAATAAACTCTGAACTGATGTCTCCACTGCATGCTTTTTCCGCATATCCATCCAGTTTCCGAATCTAATTCTTTGTGATTTGTTCGGATATATTCTTCCGCCTACTTGTGGATCTACATCATTCTATGATTTATTTTACCTTTTTTCAATTTTGGTAAACGTAACCGTTCGCCCGAACATTCCACTAATTTTTCTTTTTCACTTTTTCCACCATTCAGGTTCCTGAAGTTGTCAGAACTTGTAAGAACTTAAACAGTATCAAGTCTTTTATTATTTCAAAGTTAACCTTTTCAATTATACCGTTTACAATCACAGATCAAACTTAAAGGTGTCTTGCTAACTACATAACAACAAAAATAAGAAAGCATATAAGCTTTTTTTTTAAAACGTTGACTACCGATCTCGCTACCGATGGTCTGAGTAGTTTCCATTGGTACCTACCCCAACACTACTATATAAAAGTCCTCACTAACATATAATTTTACAGGCTCTATCACATTCCGTAAAAATCAAATATGGCGTCCATAAGAAATAACAAAGAAAGTAACCTGTAGTACACAGAACGGAAACCTTCCATTTCCAAACGAAATTTGACATTTTCAGTTATTCGGTTATATCTGTTATTGTCAAAAAATTTTCAAACATTTCAAATGCGTTTTTTTAGTCACAAAAAGGGTCAACTTTGCCTCTATTTAATCTACTCTGTATCTCCAACTATTGTGAACCACGAATTTGAACCCTCTACTGTGTCATGTTCCTGACTTTTATGCAAATAACTATTTTTTATAGTAATCGACTTTTTTAGAAACCATTTATATTAGCTCGTGTGATAATAAGCTTTGTGCACAGCGTGTATAGATTTTATGCATAATTTGGCTATTTTAGACATTCATATACTGCAATCCTTGACCAAACAAGAAAGGTGAGCGAAATTTAGTTCATGACATGCGCTGGGTCGACAACTTATATACCTATTTAAGAACAAACTAGCTATTGATCACTTTTTGCACACGATTTTTCAAAAAAGGGGCATTTTATCGTCAGTATATTCGCCACGAAATAATTAAACTTTTTTTAGAAGTGTAGTTGAATTTTATAAAAACTAGAACACCTTGGTAAATATAATAAAATGGATTACAATTATCATGTGCTTGAAATGACATATAGTCTAGGCGATAGAGACTGTAAAATTGGCAAACTGGACATTTTGAGGTGGAAAAGAAAAAAATGGTGGAATATGTTCAGTAGGTGTCAAAAACAACATATTAAAAATCCCACCCTCCAGACCCTGTGCTAAAGGCTCCAGCCACCCCACCATCCCCCAAAAACCGTTTGTCGCTCTTTTTGACTGATATCTCGCGATCTATGAGGTCTATATGAAATATTTTTAGCTGAAAATATTTCTCGGGAAATTTTATGCAAGGTAGATACTCAGAAGTTAGCCTAGGTGTACCTCTTAGCCTAGAAAATTCATAAAAGGAGGCGAAAATCATCATTTTTGTGTTTTTTTTTTGCGGTTTTCTGCAAAAATATCGCGACCGTCAGGGCTAGATGAAATATGTTTAGCTGAAAATGCTCTTCGTGCAATTTCATACGAGATAGGTAACTGAAGAGTTGGCGTAAAATCACCTTTCACCTTCAACTTTCATGTGTGAGGAAATATTCATTGTTAAAGAAAGTATTTCTATGTACCATTTATTCACGTAAAAACAGTATTTTCATATTAAAATATTCACACAATTTGAAAAAAAATTCAAAGGGCTGTAACTTTTGAACTAGTAGCCCAATCTTGGAACTGTTTGAAATTATGGATTCTACAGCCCACATTCTATAAGAAAATTTTTTTTCCGGGTCGATCTGAGACAATTTTTTTTTCGGGGCTCAAAAAAAGGCAGTGTATAACCTTCCTTTTTTACCAAAAATCGACTACACCAAAATTTCTCGGGAAAACACTTTTTCTTATTAATTTGGGTGCGTAGAATCCAAATCAATTCGTACTTTTTCGATCAGACTTCTCAATCAAAAGTTATAGACTAGAAACCAATTTGAAAAAAAATTCAAAGGGCTGTAACTTTTGAACTAGTAGCCCAATCTTGGAACTGTTTGCAATTATGGATTCTACAGGCCACATTCTATAAGAAAATTTCCGGGTCGATCTGAGACAATTTTTTTTCGGGGCTCAAAAAAAGGCAGTGTAAAACCTTCCAACATTCCAACAAAGTGATATACACGAACATTTTACAAGGTCGCGAAGTAATATTAGAATTAATTACTATAGGTTGTCTAAAACCCAAAACGGTCCTGTGTACACTGCTCAGAGTTTATTCAATTGTCTTCCGCCTGAAATGAAATTGCTACCTAGATTAAAATTAAAAAATAAATTAAAAGAATGTTTAGTTAGTAAAGCTTACTACTCCATTAAAGAGTTTTTTTTGTGATAAATATCTATCTAGTCTAAAGTAAATACCTACCTATATATCTTGTTTTTATCTTTATACCTGTACTTTTTATGTAATTATTTTATCTATATTTGTAATATTTGTTTATAATTCTTGTTGTGTTAGTATGTAGTGAATGTTTTAATTATGTTATGCTTTATATTTATCGTGTTTGTTATTTATATATATTTTATTATAATGTATTCCATCTGCCCTTAGACAAATGTAAGTGCCTTGCCACAATAACATGCAAATAAATTATTATTATTATTATTCCTATTTTACCAAAAATCGACTACACCAAAATTTCTCGGGAAAACACTTTTTCTTATTAATTTGGGTGCGTAGAATCCAAATCAATTCGTACTTTTTCGATTAGACTTCTCATCAAAAGTTATAGACTAGATGCAGATTCCACTTCTTCAGGCTCTTCGACGTCCTCTAGTGGGTCGTCTGAGATTACCGACTCGTAGTTCTCGTCTCCCGCTTTACCTGATGCATGGGTACCCTGAAGAGACGACGTGGCATTTAGGCACGATGCTCCATGACCATGACCTACAACAAGAAGCATTATGTCAAAAAAATCTTTATAATTATGTATACGATTATAATATTCTCTCGTGTGTCCTAAGTGTCCGGTAGAGAAGGTTTACCTGATTTCCTGCAACTGTTTCAGAAAATCAGGTAAACCTTCTCTACCCGACACTTAGGAGTTAGGACACACGAGAGAATATTATATTCGTATACTTAATTATAAAATTTTTTTGACATAATACTTCTTGTTGTAGGTCTGAAGAACGAGTTCTGCGTCCAGTGTCATGGAACATCGTGCCTAAATGGGACGTCGTCGTTTCAGGGTGCCCATGCAGGTAAAGCGGAAGGCGAGGAGAACTACGAGTCGGTAATTTCAGACGACCCACTAGCACTAGAGGACGTCGAAGAGCCTGAAGAAGTGGAATCTGCAGAGGATAATGATTACGTTGAGGTATAAATGAATGTGTGAATATTTTAATATGAA